CCTGGCCTTGGTGTTTGCGTGTCTTAAATGCTGACGGTATCACGCTCATCCAGCCGCGCTCAGCGAGTCAAGCCTTGACTTTTTCTGCATATCCATACCCTTGACTCTCTTGGGTTCCAGAATTATTCTCTTCGCTTTGTTGGCATGAGCTGCACCCCGTAGCCCGATCATTCGTATGTGGTCCATTGAAAGTAACTTCGTTACTCCTGAACCGGTCGGGCTCACTGGCTTGACTCCTTGGACGAGTAGCTTGTTGCCTTTTGTAATCGTTACTTCAAAAGCTTGTCACAAGTTCCTTGTCTCTGAGCGAGTTTCACTTGTAATGAGTCATGTGGGGAGTAGCACCACTGTCCATAAGCCACACTGCTGATCTTCTTTTGTCCAAGGCTACCTCGTCATCGCTTATAAATGATTTCAGTTTAGCCGTTACGCTTCATGTGACTAAATTACTCAAAGTTAAGTATTTGCCCTTAATTCTATGGATGAGGTGTGGAGCACCTTTTCGAACGTTGCCTCATCCACCTTTGAATCTTCCAATTTTTTCATTTAAGCGAGAAGTTTTCTCCATACCCCCCCCCTTGCTGTGCTGCTTATATGACTCCTTGACCAGTTTCTCATCGACTTTGACGAAAGTAAAGACTTCTGCATTTTTCACCATCATCGAAAGCGAATCGTATTCCAACGTCAGACTGATGAGAAGTATCATCAGCTAGTGCGACCCGTTATCGGGCTTTCGTATTGCCTGAGGTCCAAACTGGCTCGTCAACTGATTTCTGACACCCCGCCAAGCAACAAAGTTGTGAAGTCGACGCGTCATCGTCACGCTATTGTGCAGTGTTGACTGGTTTGACAATATATACATACAGCAACAAGATTGTCTTTGAACAGTGCTGAGCGGCGTTATCTTTGCACAATCGCTGCTCAGAGGCACAAAGAGATCTCTCATACGTCATCCTGCTCTTTGTGCGGGAAATTTATTCTGGTCTCGCCTGAAAGAACTTCGACAATGATACCGATTATATACATGACCAAAATATTTTGACAACTATCAGAAAAGCTGTCTCGGTTATCAAAAGCGCGAGTTCTTCTAGACGCTTATCAAAGTCTCATCTATGCAAAGGGCACGGCCACTCCAACTCACTGGGTAGAACTTAAAGTTAATCCCACCATCGAGTCATAAAAGACAGTATCTTCTGCAAGAATGGAACTTAAAGTGTTTGAGTATAAATCGACCGGACGAATAGACCATATAACCAAGCTTCCGTCTATCTTATGTCCTATTCGTAATTAGTCAATGGGCTGGAAGCCGTAGTCGCCCGCCAGGAGGCGATGGCAGTTTATACGAATGCACTGGTGAGGTATGTTCAGTAGGGTGCGGGTGTAGGGATAGAGAGCTCATATCTTGAAACAGCCGGTGATGGTCGTCCAAGTCTTTGAGAGCCGCGAAGGAAAAAACCTGTCCCTCTTGACGAGACAAGGCGAGATGGCCATAAATTTGGCCTTGCCTTCAGCAGAACCACAGCGCATCGCACCTTGTATTGAGCACTAGCGCACAAGACATTGATAAGAGGGGAGCTTTAATAGCGGGACAATTTGGAGCTATATATGTTGCGAGGTATTTCACCACCTAAACAGATTTATTGGGTGCGTTAAAAGCTCTCGACTACCTGTCAAGGAAGGTGACACTGTTGGACAATGTCCGTTATAACTTTAATCGTCGCCAAGGCGTCTGACCCTCTCTTGGAGGAGGTAACGGTACTAGCCGCTCCAATTCGTTGACCTCACCGTTTTTCAATTCCTTGCACATATCCCCAACAGATCATTCTATCAGCTCTATGACATTTTCTGCCGGAGATAGTGAGTGGGGACTTGCAACTCTCAGGACAACCCCTGTTACTTCATTTAGAAGTGAATACTCACCACTACCCATTGAAATTTCACTGCTCCGCAAGGTCGGCCCATAAAACGGTTGTACTGACCCAGCCGCACCGCCGTATCGTGATAGAAGATGAACCTAGCCTTCTACTCGCAACGTGCAGTTGCCCTTCAACTCCAATGGCCCTAGGGCGGAAGATTGCAACACCCAGTCGCTTCTACTCTTAGCTGGTCCTGGCGTTGAAGACAGTTCACAGCTGTTCTTTACTGAACTGCCAAAGATTCACTCTGTGACATCGATATACAGTCGACCTTTCTCGTCTCCGCAGAGATGCACTTTAACAAAGTCTGCTTAAGGCACCTAGCAGTACCGGCGCTATGTCAGGAACTTTCAATATCATGAGCGCTAGCTATTGCAGCTTCTTCCCGCACCAAAAGCGCTACTTTTCATAGCAATGGCGGGTTCATGACGCGCCAGAGCCCCAGCAGGTAAATAGAGCGTGGTATCCAGCTTTTTTTACATCCAGTCAACCTATCATTCGTGGTATTACAGCCACACCATGCCGAGCATGAGATCGCACCTCAAAACACGGTTATGGACTCGACGATGTCTCACGCTGTCGAAATCCTCAAGCTTCACTTAGAGATCTGGCATAGCATTTGACACTTACACTAGTGTCCTCATCATAAGATACGCAAATATCATATTTGTGGATAACGTCTATAATGTCTCCTCGTATTTTACACGGTTTCTACAGTCGAGCGTCGTGTTAATTGCAATATACTTCTCAAACAATCAGGACGATACATGGCTTCAGATATCATGAGCCTTACTTTGATTATCTCGTAAGAAGTCGCTTTTGAACAGTTGGGTCCCATTGACAACACCCGTGGGGCACAGTCGAGCCTAGATCTTTTCAAGTATGCTTCCCTGTATCTTCAAAGACTTGACGTTTTCCCGTGAAACATGTGTCGTACTCCCTTGCGAGAAATCCCGATACTTCTAAGCCCTCAGCCAAAAGCGACGAAGGTATGCGAGACGGAGCTGTATTATCCTCCGGCATATATTATATCTGCGGTACTGCAGGGCTGATCAGCAGTTCAGATATCACTTCCTTCTTCCTCAGCATGGCTAAGGTCCATCGGTTTCTTCACTTCTTACCCGCTCGTAGAGGTTTTACTCCAGCAGCTTATTTTTCCCTCACGGTTCGGAAGTGTACTCCGCAATGAACGCGAAGCCTATTGCATTCTCGAAAGAAATAAGGTGAGAGCGAAAGGTACAAGCCGCACCTGTTAAAAGACTCTTCATGTTTGATAACCGTAACCTCCTCCATGAGAGGATCAGACGCCTTAGCGACGATTAAAGTTATTATGGACATTGTCCAACAAAGTCATCTCCCTTGACAGGTAGTCAAGAGCTTTTAACGCACCCAATACGCCTGATTAGGTGGTGCAACACCTCGCAACATCTATTGCTCCAAATTGTCCCGCTTTTAAAACACCTCTCTGATCATTGTCTTGTACGCCAGTGCTCAATACAGCGTGCGATGCGCTGTTGTCCAGCTCAAGGCAAGGCCGAATTTATTGTCAACTCAGCTTGAGGGACAGATTTTTTCCCTCTCAGCTCTTAAAAGCCTGGATGCTTAACGTCGGTTGTTTTAGGATATGAGCTCTCTACTCTATCTCTACACCCGCGCCCTACTGAACATACCTCACCAGCGGATTATTATGAATCGCCATCGCCTCCTGGTGAGCGATTACGGCTTCCGGCCCATTGGCTCGTTATGAATAGAACATAAGATCGACGAAAGCTTGTTAAGATGGTGCAGCGGGGCTGCCGTAGCTTTTTGCTTAAAGTCAGCTTACTAAGGTCACCAACCTTGCGTACTATACCAGTACCAGTACGAGTGTAGCAGATCGCAATCCGCTACCTTTAAAAGCACCCAAAACCTTACCACAAGGCAAATGTACTCTTCCGTTTATAATTGAAGCTGTATTCATCTGTTTTATTTGCAGCAGAGCCGCCCATATTTAAGACCTTATTGATTTGCATGAATACTGGCAGTCCCGCCACGCAGTGGCTTCTTGTTACGGTGTAGCCACACCATTGTGTGTCTACATCGACTTGTGTAATCTACACCTTTTCACGGTCAAACTATCTTAAGTGACAATCTTTCATACCAGGGTACGTGTAACCCGTTACAGAAGGCCTATTCGTCCAGAGGATTGATACTCCAACACTTTAAGTTCCATTCTTGTAGAAGATACTGTCTTTTATGACTCGGTGGTGGAATTGACTTCAAGTCCTACCAAGTGAAACGGAGTGGCCGTTTACTTTGCACAGATAAAGTTTGACTCTCAGATCCCGCATTAGCAAACGCATAGTCGATAGGTCATGCGCTACTATCAGGAGCAAAGCCGAAAGGCCTAGATAACCAACACTGTTAGTTTACTCGGCTATATCGAGATCACATACTTTTCAAATTATCTTTTATTATAAAGCTTTAAGAATCGTACATTTCATCAATACCGATATTTCGGAAGTAAGAGTAGTGTAATATTTGTACAACTGTTTAGTAATTTACTTGAGGCAGTTGTATCACTTTTGTAATTTTCAAGCTCACAGTTATCAGAAGTTCAACTGATGTATTTACAATTAACAATTTTTCTTCTTGAGAAATTTTGATTGGTAAAGTTTTGGCCGTATAATTAACATTGCTTTAAATAATAAATTTCCAACATCACTAGATTACATTCTTAGTGTAGCTTGTATATCAATATATAGGAATCATCTCATGAATGTAGATGCATGTGGTCACATCCGCAAGTATTATCAATCGTAAGCAATAAATGAGAAAGTAGTATGGAACACAGATTTACTCTCTACAATTCATGACGAACTTTTCAAATTGGAGCGGGTAGGTAAAACAAACGAAGTGTTTTCATTTAAGTCGCTGCTTTAACTGTTTACACTACAATATATTGGTTTGACAACTGGCATGTTAAAAGAAAAGAAAAAGAGATAAACAAATGCTGAACAAGACAAAAATGGCAACTGAAGTCTGACACCTAATCAGACAATTTCTAATTTCCATTGTCGGCAGTATCGGATCCCTGAAGACTCGTTAAAGCATCTTCTGCTCTGGTCCAGATGGTGGTTGTCCTGGAACAACTTCAACAGGATTTCTCAATGTCCAAACCGGACCGATCGCATCAATCTCCTCCCCTTCACGACCGAAAAATGCAGCAAGTTGATGATTATCATCTGGGGCTTTGCAACCTTCTTTCTTCGCCGTACCCTTCCTCTCTTTACCTCCCTCGATATACCTACCCGTGTTAGTCATTAATCTAATATAGCCGATTCTCGTGGTCGATGTTTTTGTAGTTTGCACCTCAAAATATTTGATGTACTCATCCGATGCTAAATCGTGATCGTGGCATTTATTTTTACTGCCGTGAAACGGATCTTGTGACATGCCCTCCGGAGGCACGAAAGTAATACCAATACCATCCACGCGATCGCCATGGCATAACGTGATCTTGGTCACCTTTTGACCAGGAACTACCATACTGGTATCGTCAAACGGTCTCCCATGCGGTCCACCTGTCACGGTGCATTTCTCGACGAAATCGGGAAGGTCATACATATCACCTTGAACAAAAGCAAGCGTAGCGAGAAAGGAAAAACAGATCTTCATTGCGGTGACTCTTTGTTGAGGATGAGAAATATTTTGGAATGACTTGTTTCGGCCAGTGCTGATTGCTGGTATAGAAGACTGCAGAGCGTGAGGTAGTAATGTTAACTAAGCGAATTATCGGAATTTCCCAGATCAAAACGAAGATCGGTCGGTAGCAATTTGTGGGGCCAAGGCTGACTGGCTTTCACCTCATCCTGTTATTATCGAGAACTCGAGAGTCGAGTGATCGTTACCGATTTAAATTGATTTTCAATGCATTGAAAATCAATTTCTTATGAGGCACCAATGCATTCTTTACATGTAACAGCCATAGTATTGTGAGAAGAAGATAATATAGAATCCTTTTTGATAACATAATACAATGTCGTACGTCGCAAGTAAAAGGATGCTCTTGCCTATCGATGTCGTCGCTGATCTCATAGAATGGGATCGAAGTCGTGAGCTACATAGTCGGTATAGCGTGTCATATGTTATGTAGATGCGCCAGGCTATTTCACGTTAGACCACACAATTTCGCGAAATCTCAGAACAAAGAAAAGGTATTTAATGGAAAGTCGAAAAAATAGCCAGCCATGTGTTTTATTTCGGTGGATTGCTTGACGGCGCTCTAACGAATGATAAGACACCAGATGGAAGAAGCTTTTCCTCAAAATGGTCCCCTAGGCCAAAGCAAAAAATGCAAAGCATATTTCTTTTACAAATAGAATAATTCATTGGATTATGGTGTACGTACGCATTACACTTTTCAGCTGTTCCAAACAACTGACTCACTCACTCTATGCAGTACATATTCCAGCAGAGTTATTCCGAATGGTAGTTATTTAGTACTAGTCTAAAGAAGATGTATCTCAAAATATATAAGTTACTACAAGCAAACTAAGTATCTAGTTCATAAATAGTCTCTAGGTTTCGCATCCCAATTAACTCTATAACGTGGACTAATTATTCAGAGCTTTCGTTGTGTAAGGTACACAGAATATCTGTCGCACTCGGTAGCACTTGTCGTCAATCCGACGATCACTTGTATCCTCCGAAACAACGAAAATTGAACTGTTCAGCTATGTGACATCGAGACATATAGACAGAATTAGTGGGATAGTATCTATTAATAGTTCCAAACAACAACAGATATTATCAACTTTTGCGTAAGGCCGAAAGCGATGATCATTTGCCCGTCGTTGTTCACGTGCTATGATGTTATACCTTCGCGAACGCTCTTACCAGCATTTGGCGATAGTAACATTGACTCCCCCCTGGGGTTGCTTACGGTAAGCACTCCACCATTCGAGCTCAGAAACGAATAAAAATCTAGCAGTCTCGCTTCCATACACGGTAAGTCGACTAATTTCAAGCCGCTTAACGTGACCTCGGGTGGTTTGCACTGTGTCGACTGAGAAAGAAAGAAGCGGGTTTTATTGTACCTCGTAATAATCAAGAGCAATGCAATTATGTCCTTAAACGAGTGACACTACTGAAGAGAGCTGGAGCTCACGGCCCAGTGTTATTGTTGTCGACGCCAGTGTTCAGTGTTTTAAAAGACCTTGAAAAGTCCTGCGGGGCTCAGGATCTTCGTCTAGATACATATGACCGCGCATCTGTTGAATTTAGCAGAAAATATGCAAAGGCATTCCGAAGGCCAAATAAGGTATCACATCTTCATGTTTACGCGTCGAAAGTTTCGTAAGGTTTCCTCCAATACATGAGGGCTGGACAGAATAGTAGTTCCTGCGCTCTATACTTGAATTTGAGATACGATCTCATCCCATGTAATGTCTTGTTTGATTACCGCGATCCATAAATAGAAAAAAAGTTCAAGCGCTTAGAATTCCATATCATTGCATATTCGGGTAGCCCCAGCGAGCCATATTCCCAGCATGTAACAGAGACGCATCACTTTTGGGGCGAGCTTAAAATTGCGATAGCCTCGAGGATTATGGTCATTGTAGTTGGTTTACTGGGACAAGAATGTTCCAGGTTACGTCGTGATCCCAAGAGCTTCCTTTTTGTAAGACGTTCCGTGTCTCATGTGTCAGAGTCGATCTCTTAGTAAGAGCGACTATGTGTGTACCTCATTTATTGCTTTTGACATTATTGTTCGCCGATGTGAAAGATGTTGACATTCATTTGATACTTTGATGTAGATGTTCTGAAAGTTGCTGATTATGCATCAGGAAGTGTCTGGTGCACACGCCACAAACAGTAGTCTGTGATGTCGCTGTCTAGGCAACATTATGTAGATCCACAAACCAAGTTTGACAATGGATGTGTCATTGGATGTGCAGCGCACAAGAATTCGGATGGAGCGCCCACCTTCAAAATTTGCAAGCAGCTCTTAAGTGTATATGCTTGGACAAGATATTCGCCATAACATAGACAAGGGAATACAAAACCCTCTCTTTCAGGTGTTTTATCAAGGAGCAAGGTATATGGCACAGATCCCGCGAAGATCCAGCCAAATTGGTTAGTGCCGCCGACCCAGAGATACACGCAGAAGTGTCTTGTACTGTGTTACGCGGATCATGCTGATAAATATGATTTGTCTTCACAATAATCTTCGGGAAATTAATGGCAACTGATGTCGGGGTGAGGCAGATGATGAGGCCTTTAGAGCTTTAAGTAAAGTCAATTGAGTGTTGTGATTCTAGCCAAACCAAATTTAAACTAGCCTTTAAAACTTTCTTCTATGCCAAAGACTGTGCTTGACTACATGCAGATGCGAATGGGCATGAACGCTTAATCGCATTTGAGTCTCGCCGACATCAGCGACAGATCATAACAAGTCCGTACTTGACGCGGCGCTACTAATCATGATGTGCGTTTTTGAGATTGCTAGACTCTTACCTACGCAGATCATGCGCAGTTGCCCACTGGGACGCCGTCGCGAATAATAGCAAGATAATATACCGAGTCGATAGATGCGGTCATGCTTTGTTGAAGCGTTTAGTCGCGCATATCACGATAGTGACGTCTTTTATATGAGGTCATACGTGTAGCGTACAGGTAAGATGCAGAATGTGTAGGTTTGCAGAAAACTTCGGAAAGGGGAAATTTTACAATTGGATTTTGCTTCATCGAAGCGTCTAATTGCACGCTTGTGTCGTCATCGCTCCTTTCAATGCTTGTTGTATGCAGCACTGATTCCACGTCACCTCATGGTAAGGATATCAACTACAAATGTTGTATAAAGCGCACGATCCCTCGTTGGGATGCCACCCCGATGGTGGGCAAATAGATTGCCCAGTGAACGCTACGTACTGGTGGTTCGTCATGTATAAGTGGGCTCTTCAATATGTACGCGCGTGCAATAGCGTCAGCAAATTAAACTCTCGCCACGACTGACTCCAATTTATTGATTTCGGCAGAGTGTTGGCATCCCGAATTATGGATTTGATGTTTGTGGTATTAGCCAATGCGTTCTGGAACACCAATATTATGGGATCAGTGGCCGCTGGAGGTATATCCTCCGTATAGTTGCGCTGAGCTGATTTTTTAACATCGTTTTCGTCAATTTGGCTTGGTCATTATTTAAGATCGATATTCACGCTTCACATCACAATTCTACCAACTGTGTCCTCTGGCTGCCTGTTTGGGCATGCACACCGCGTATCATTGGCCGACTCGTGGTCACACCTAGCACGTACATCGAGTCGCGGGGGTATCTCTCAAAGGTCTCGCGCATAGAGCCTACGGTTGTAGTGGTATGCTGCTGATCATTGCTTTCGTGATAGATAATGCCTTATATTTAGCTTCCAGGACAGGCCCTTGGTTGTTATGTTTGTGAACACGGTGTTTGTGCAGACTCCGCGAAGGTCAAAGCAATAGTGGAGTGACCAATACCACAGAATCCAAGGGTTTCAAGAAATGGATCGCTTCTCGCGAAACTACGCGGAAATGGTACGACCATTTTGGTTCGATTAGTGTCAATGATTTGGTTCAGCCCTCATGCCCACGCCCTTGTGAACCAAAGCCTTAAACTGACGCCTTAGACCGCTCGGCTTTCTCTTCTTCCTACACCCTAGTTTCTTTGACGCCGCTGCAAAGCCTTAAGGAGTGTCGATACAGTTGGACTTGCTGGTATCACTCCGAGTATACTTCGTTGCAAAATTACTGCTTGTATCTGGACAAATCTGAACGTTTTTTTGCCAAATGAGCGGCGCTACGACTGAGAGTCAGGTTGCGCAAAAGCAAATGCAAGTACTTGATGGATAAAAAAGAAATATGAAGATATAGTGGGCCAACAAGCTTTATCAAATCTAGTTATCCTACCTATGAAAGCAATGTCTGCAGTGTATACCACAAAGCTGCGACCGTGAGGCATCGGACAGCTCACATTTGCAAAAATACATTGAGCTATATTCCCAACCTTTCGAAAAGAGTGCTAGTATATTCTGCGCTGTACGTGCATTGTAATTAATGCATAACGATTGGACTATGACGAGCATAACGGATGTGAAGCACTTTATTGTAATATGAGTTGCTGACAGCAAGAACTTTCAAGAATAAGTTTCATCTCATAATTTACTTTGTGTCTTAAACTTCGCAAAATCAATCATAAAATCACACTCAATTCGGGCGTTTGGGGAAGCTAGAGCTGGCTCACACGACTGTAATACAGCTGTAGCAATGTGGTAGCCCCGTGATACGCGTTATTTAGTGCGAAATCACAAGACACTATTGCCAGCTTTCAAGACCAAAGAATTGGTCTTCATGGAACATATGGATCCCAATTGCTGCGGCTTTGATCACATGCAATATTCCTGGATAGTGGTGGCATATTCGATCAGGTTTCGATTGCAAAGCGTCTTGTAAGCGCTTGTTCTTTGGTTGTACATAATGTATGGTGACGTAAACGCTTAAGCGCACCTCTAAGGCAAGCAGCTCCTGCAGAAATAATTTAAAATTGTGTCGTGACCGAACCTGCCAAAATGTTGTGACTTTGCGCTTGTTGAAGGACAAGCTCGGTTTGTGTAAGAAAGATACCATATTGGTTTTGGGCTGGATATCGTCGTAAGCTTCACAGTAGGGTCTTGGGACTTTTTGACTTCGGGGATAGACAGAGTAGGCTATTCGTGCAGATGAAAGACGAAGCGTAAGGAACGTCTCTTCCTCGGCTGATAACTTTACATTATGTCTTTAAGTGAAAACAGGCGCTCGGTCTCTAGCTTTCCATTGGCCGCGAGGGCTTTGCCTGCTTCAAGGACTCGTTGAGCCATCACGATAAGAATATTGATGCAGATGAGATACGTACATTTATGTGCAAGAAGTGGCGATAAATTCCAAGCTCATTAGGTGCCCATTAAGCGATCACGGGTCGCGATGTATTCAATAGACAGAGTAAGCGTGGGCCTTAGTATGGATTGCATCGGTATGAGATATGGTGTAAACGAGCACGAACCGTACTATGGAGTACGTACCTTGCTACAATTTTGTACAGAGGGTAGAGGGATTCGTACCAATGAGACAATAAAACTTTGTAATGCAGAAGTCCGCTAGATATATTAGATGTTAGTCGCACGTCATAAGATGTCTATAAGTTTCTATTGACTATTGTAGAATCTTGGTATGTGATAGCCAGAAAATGTCTTTTATGCCACTGTTGCATCATAAGATCAAACTACTTAGTCTATCAATGCAGAGTCAATGGGTCAGACTTCCTAGGCGTAAAGTGCGCGGCAATCACGTCGCGGGTAAATACTGATATGGTGCGGGTGGCCTCTCAAAATGCAAGGACAGCGTTAACAGTTTTGCAAGACTCTAAATTACTGCTTAGCACAAAGCATGCAGGCTAGGCATGCTTAGAAACGATCAATATATTATAATCAAAATAGTAAAAGCTCAAGAATGTGATTTGCTGCTACGCTACTGTCATTTTCATTGCTGGACACATTGCAGTAAAAATTTGCTGAGTTGAGCGATCTCAGTCTGATTATGTTGAAAACATCCGATAGGTATATTTCATCTTCATGAATAGCTTCGAATGCCAAATTGATGTCATATCACATAAACGTTCGATTGTAGGACACTTGCAGGTACGCTGATGGTATATCAGGCGGATTGCAATGCGCCAAGACTTATTATGAATATTCTTGTACCCAATGCAATCGCTTGTTCTTTGTTCCAGATGACAAACGACGAATGCAAAAAGTTCACCTTCAGACCACGATTCTCTTGCTTGCCACCAGACAACAAACTTTTGCTGAATGCTGGGCGTTACAAACCTTAACCAAGCAACCTTCTTCTTTACTCACACCGCTTGTTCTCATCGTCACGAATCCTAAACTTTTGCCGTCTGCAATTGTGATGGCGATGCTTGTCGCAAGGTCTTAGTATCTGAGCAAGTCAGTTAAGTGTGAGGTCATGTAAAATGTGGCGCTAGTTGTCCTTTAGATCGTCCTCCACTAAATGCAAATACCGCGTCATCGCTGATAAGACGTTTTATGACCGGCAATCCCGCTTTATGTGACAAGCCCAGTCACAGCTAGATGACTTGTTCTTGAGTCCGCTCTTAATATCGTAGAGCATCGCCTATCGAGACGTCACCTACAATCAATCTCCAGGGCTCTCGATTTACGCACAATGCTTTCTACCTAACCTTCTCTATGTACAACTTTTCTGATTTATAAAGCATCTTATCCCTGACTGCAATATACGAGATGCTCTTCGCATTTCCATAATCAATTAGACCAAATAATACTTTGACGTCGGACTGCTGAGAAGTACCACTAGCTGATTCGAATCGTCAAGTGGCTCTACCGCTTTCGATCAGCCGACAATCGAGTCGCCAGAGCAGACTAGACACCGCTTCACCATTCTAGTACAGCTTGTCATCTCAAAGGTTTGGATGTCGACGCAGCATCGTCACACGATTGCACAGTGTTAAGCGGTTGTAAAAATCACGTAGCGTTTCCCATGCCTCCATGGACCTCGTGGTCGACCGCACTTGGTCTGATGTTCAATATCAGCATCGCGCAGATCAAAACGCAATGCCTTGGTGTCGGTCACATGCCACGCCTCTATGCTATAGCTCTCATCCTTGACGGTAATGGCATGCTTCATAAGAAGATAAAAATCTGATTGAATCACACAAATCAGATTGACGCAGCAGCAATGATTACTGCATCAAAACGCGCATTCTCCTCGTGCTTAAGTTTCAGTAGTAGA